AAGCAGTGGTATCAACGCAGAGTACTCTAACAAGGGAAGGATACTTGGTCGAACTGGCGTTTTCTAGGAAATGTAATCCGTCTTGTAGAGCATGGAACGCTAGCTACGACTCTGCTTTCGTTGTCTGCAAAACATATCTGGTAGGGGAGTTATGGGAAATTTTTGCTGCAAGAATTGAAAGCGCCGCTACAATAAATTTATTCATAACTTTGGTCGTGAGCTGAAATGGGGCCAAGATTACTACCGGGTGCTCTATACAATAAATACTTCAATTATTACTTCTTTTAAGAGCCGAAAAGAACTCATCTGTCTTTTTCTTACCAAATCATTAAGTTATACTTTAAAAATTTCCAGCACTTCCCTTCCAGAAGCGCTTTACAGATACAGAAAGCAGATTTGGAATCGGCGTTTTACGCTCTATAAGATAGTTTACATTTCATATGAAAAGTCACTTCCACGGAAAATTCTACCCTTGTAAAAGGTCTCTTTGATTTTGTGAAAACCCAGATAGACAAGCTATCCTCTACGTTTTAGTAGAAGCTTTTCGACCATTACCTTGCCTCGTAAAGCCTCATCTTCAGCTTAGCTATAAGTAAACGCTGCATTAAGTGCTATCGTTTCTGCGCAAAGATTATTACCATTACTATTTGGTGCCCGTTTTCCCGCAAAGATTTGAAAGCCTTTAAGGAAAGAGAAAAATTATTTAGGGCTAGAATTCTGCTCTCGGTTTACACTGCCGGTCCAGATTTGAAAGCATCTCTGACTTTGCAAATCTGGTCCAGTCTTGGAACGAGGTAGTTTCACAAAAAACTTGTTCTTGTTATGCTTGCTCTTCTTCTACGCCTTTCTTAAAACTGCATGGCTGGTTAAGCGTGTTACACCACAAAACAGAAAGGCAGCTTTTTAGGTGAAAGAAAATCAGTTTGAGTGCAGCGTGATCGTCGGTTACATAACATACTTGAATGGCTAAAAAAATATACTTAGTAGTAAAAGGTTACCCTACAAGTGAACTCTTTTCGAAATGAATTAAGATGTTTTTGTTTCCTTCGCAGGTGTAGGTTACCATCTGATAGAGCGCAGCGAGCTGACAGCTAAAGAATCGCCTGAGTCTGTCAGATTTTGCGAAAAGCAATCATACGGAACTCTAACTTGGTCATTAAACAGTAGACACAAGACACGTGGTAGTACTCAAATTTGCCTTTACTGAATTTTTTCCGCGCATAAAAAGCGAGTAAAAAGATGGTCCAAAAATGGCCAACCCCGCCCTCGACCCCTTCCACGTATTGTATACTACATTGTATACTAGAAGCGTTACTAATTGTACTCAACATATCTCTGTGTTCGGTAAATTTTTTAGAAAGGGCCGCTTCTGCTTGCTTTCTTGATTTTCTAGTCTAATCTCTCGAAATTAATGAAAAAATTGTTGACAGAAATTACAGCTTATGAGCGGCATTTAGATTCTTTTCTCAAATGATGAATTCCGAGAAATGAAGATCACTACATGATAATTGTAGACCACTTCTAAACCGTATTATAAACCGTAAACAGCAGCGACATAACCACAAAGACAACAAACGCCTGAGTAACTAAACGGTAAAAACCGCATAGCCAATGGCCGTCATTGCCATGGACAAAGTAAGAGCATTAGAAATGTCGATAAATTGCCAAGGGGGGTGGGGGAGGGAGAAGAAACCCAGACAGTCGAAGGGATATCTCCGGCGGGAATATGGCGCGAGTCTGCCACTTCGCGCTCCGGAGCCCTGCCATTTCACGCATTTTTGTGCTCCGGGGCTCTCCCGAAAGTGGCGCACCTCCGGAGCAGAGATTTGCGCGTCGCAGAGGGGTCCCATTCATTCACCGTGACGTCACGGTGACGTCACAAACAGGGCGAATGGGACCCCTCTCCTCGACGCGCAAATCTCTGCTCCGGAGGTGCGCCACTTTTGGGAGAGCCCCGGAGCAGCAAAATGCGTGAAATGGCAGGGCTCCGGAGCGCGAAGTGGCGATCCTCCGCTGGGGAAAGCCCGACCCTGCCACTTCTGCTCCGGAGGTATCCCATCGACTGTCTGAGAAATTTGACGAGAGCAGAGCAAATCATGTGAGTAAAGAAAAGGTCGTTGCAAACAGATAGTGGAGTGGATCTAGGTCGTGAGTAGTCAAAGAAGTCTTTTGATTCATCTTCGAAGTGATTCATTCATTTATTAGGCTTTGTTGGGATGCAGTAGAGGTCAGGAAAGTACGATAAAGGACTAGCAAATTTGCTGCTCAAGTAACACCTATATGAACCGTAGATGTTACTTGAACAGAACGACGTGATATGTGGACATTTTTCTCGTTTTTTCAACTGATTTCGTTTAGGAAAAAACGCCGATCTCATCTTCGCACACACTCGCAAGATATGGGGGCTAGCGCTAGTAATTTTAACCATGAAGGTTGGCAATTAAAAATGAGGAGGTTTTGGAATTAAAAAAGCAAAGAACTTTGGCTCTGAACTCGGAAGATGAGTCAAACCAAAACATTCAAGTGAAACTTCGGTTATATCCGCAGTACAGTTTCTAAATAAGAAAGATTATGGGCGATCGTAGAGAGGAAGCACAAAACCTTATATACAGTATAGGATTCTCCATGTAATTGAATAGAAAAAACTGCGCTTTACCGCATGGATGAACAGTTGACTGCTGGAAACGATTCACCAAATCGAGTGAAGCTAAAGCAAAGCAAATCCCGTTTGCCAACCGCGGGGCATCCAAAGAAGTACAGCAACCGGATACCTTGGTTTATTAATGTGATGTTTATCAAATTTGCTTCTGACTAGTTTCAAAAAAATAGCCATGGGATTTCTAGAAGGGCTATTGGCTCTGAATAGCCCATTCAGGGCGATTCAGAGTTTGAGACGTCGGTGCCCACCAATCTCGAATATGTTTAACAATGTGTGTTTTTTGTGAATGTGCTGTCGTGGGCTTCGTAACCAACGCGAAATACAGCTGTTCACGATGGATATACGCCACCGTACGAGACATCAGTTTTGAAAGAGAATTTGCGAGTTGTGTTTTAGGGTGTTAGTGAGTCTAGCTGAGCAAATAAACGGAAACAATTCACGCAACAAGAGTTTATTCCATAAAGAAGGATAATGGAATGATGAATTAAAGATGAAGATCAAAGATTAAAGAGTTTGCTCCTTAGATCTTTTGTCGCTACACCTTGACAATCTTCGGCACACTCATCAAGCCATTGATGTCGTGAAAACTCCGACGCCTTCTGCTTCAGACATTCGTGGCACTGTAAAAAAAATTGAGTGTATAGCATTCTATAAAGTTTAGTCAGACCTTGTCAACCTTCTCGGGATTAGACACAGAGACGGAACCGGAATGTGCCTCACTTTCATCACCTGCGAGTGGCTCGACTTCATCACCTGCGACTTCATCTCCTGCGACTTCATCACCTGCGAATTCCTCTTGATTTTCGCTGAATTCTTGTTCTTCTTCAGCACTGGAAAGACTATCGCTGCTTAGGTCCGCCGCTTCCTCTTCACTTTGAGAGCCGCTTTCGCCGTACACAGCTACCAAAAGCACAAGCAACAATAGCTTTTGAAAGAGCATATTGTTTGTAGACGAATCTGCAACATTCTATGATACAGAGAGCTTATTGATGGGATTCAAAACAACAGTACATCAAATCAAACCTTCAAACATCAAAGAAAAACAGCATTTTTTCAGCAAAGAAAGTATTGTGGTCAGGCTACTGAATAGAGACTGCTATCGTTTACGCAGCTCATGGTAAATTTGAAGAGGATTTAGAGAGGACGAAAGCTGCCACACTATTTGAAGTGATCGCGTATAGAATTGGCAAAAGCAGATGTATTCTGCTCCTAAATCTATCCGTATTGATACAAGAATTGTTTTATCTCAAAAATGGCATGGGTTTCTATAACTGTTCGGAATGTTTTGTCTATGTGTACAAAGCAAACTTTCTACCATACTGGTCTAGTATGTGATTTTAACACTGTTTCTCCTTTGTGGATCCAGAGTTTTTGATTACAGGACATTGCAGAGACATCTAATTCTATGAATTGCTTGTTCCGGGAAAGCCGCAAACTTAAAAAAATATGGAATTGCAAAAGCCATGATGTGCAACATAGAAGCAGTGTCGAAAGAGCTAAAAATCTCGGAATTAGCTGCTTTTTGGTCATAGTCCTTTTTAGCTCGCTGACTCATCTGGAAAATCAAACGTCTTAAAATCACATTACGCGTTCAAACGCCAGGCTTCACAATTTCAGAGGCACATTATCGGTTGATAGAGCTGGAATGGGTGGCGCGCTGCACTGTATGTTTTTGTCAGAAACATACATAACAGACAATACTGCAAAAAAAATCAGAAGAAATCAGAATCGCACAACTACTGCTCAAATTGAGTTCTTCAGAAAGAAAAGTATCGTTGAAAAAGTTTCGACATTTAGGAGAAGTTTTATGAAACCACTTAATTGTAACAGTATCTTCATGAATTCTGAAAAAAATTGCGACAATCAAAGGCTTTACGATCAAGCGCATTGTAATAACAAACAAATCGCAGCAGTTCGTAGCAGTAAATTTATTTATTTCTTGAGTGTTTTAGTTGAAATAGAACTGTGAAATCAGAGGAAAAAGTTCAATTGACAAGAATTGCTAAAACCTAAGTGGTAGCGGATGCTAATGACTGGTCTGCCAGTTTCACTGATTTATATACCTCTCCAAGTGTGCACAGATGGAAAATGTGAACTATCCCAAACGCGTACTTTCGATCTCACATTACCAACAGCCTCGTTAGCACAGGCTAGTGCTAACGAGGCTGCTCTTTACTTACATGCATGTTTGTCAAATTCTACCAACGAAAATATTATGGAAATTCATGAAAACAAATAGAACGTTACTGTAAAGCACAAGTGCAATCCCTCCTATGCACTACTATCACCTGCTGCAGTACTCGAATGAGGTTAGAGTAGATCATGTGATTCATACCAAATCGAGTATATGTTCGTGTACAGAACTAGTGAGAAGTAAAACTGTTTTTCGAACTCAGTCACTTCTGCGTTCCCATCGCTCCAAGATTCATTTTGAAGGCGAAATCCCCTTGACTTTATGACACTAGCAAATTTTTCACGTTTTTATTAAAATAGTTTTTGGCAAATGCAACTACTAGATAGTGTACAGGCATTTCTACATTATGATAGAACTGCTCTCAGAATACCCCAAGTATCATCAACTAAGCAATAAGTTTGAGCATCAAAAAATGGAATTTTGTACTTCGAAAATGTATTTGTCAATATTGGGTTGATTGGAAATTCAATCCGTGCTTCTCATCCTGAAGCGGCATAGAAGACGTAAAATGATCAAAACAACAGTTCGAGAGAGCAAAGCAAGCTCTACAAGATATTACTTGAACAGCAGCAAAAAACTTGACCTGCGTGAAGTTTGCGGAAAAACCTAGAATATTTCGAAAACTCAAAAGTCTCATTTTCGTCTGAAAAGATCCTGCGCCCCAACTTGGTCAAGCATATACTATACACATAAGATAATCATACATAAACTTGCCGTGTGTTTTTTCGTGGTTGGAAACTGAAAAATAAAAATAGGCCAGAAATTCAAAAATAACGCCTTTTCAGTATTGCAGTGTTAAATTCGATATTTTCTACATACAAGCTTGAAGAAGGCTCGAAATTCATTGTTATAATCCCGAATGCGTGTAGCCGGAATTATCTAAGTCGGTGCAATTCAATGTTGATTTCGCTAAAATATGGTGAATTTTATTTTCCACTTTTAGCCATAGAAAATTCAGCAAGCAGGCATATGCATAGCTGATGAGTCAAATAATTTTTGGAAGCAAGTTGGGTGTAGGACTGTTGCATATAGAGATCCGTATTTTGGGGATTGAAAGTTTTCAAGGTTCTTCTTCCTAAACTATCAAACCATCAAATTCATGCATTTTAAAAACACAATTTTGTAGAGCTTGCTCTGCTGTATCAAATGATTTTTCAAGGAATTTTTATGTTCAATTCTTGCAAATGAAGTCGATTACTTCAGAGCGTAAATGTATCTTGTGACTCTGACTTCAACGCCAAAAATTCAATTTTGAGATTACAGCACGCAAAGTAGGCTTCCAGACTCTTACACGTGTTTCGCAATATTTTGATAAACGTAATTCAATCTAATCTCATTCGAGTTGTGCAGCAGATCTCTCCAAGTGTGCACAGATGGAAAATGTGAACTATTCCAAGCGTTCTTATCTACCAAAACAGCTTCGGTAGTTGTTGGCAGGTTTGTAGTATACAACTACTTATGTGGGAACGGCACAGCATCACTTCGGCAAACGCACGAAAATTTCCGTTTTCTTGATTTCTAACAGAGAAAAAATATGGCAAGGGCGTGTATAGATGTCTTATGTAAATGGTTACGTGAGCAAGTTAGAATTTTTGTAGGTTTTTTATGAACTAAGTTACGATTTTTCTCAATTTTTCGGACAGCTGAATCTTTTTACTTTTTGGCTCGAAACTCGCGGTGGATCAGAGTTGTTGCTAAAGCAAGATTGCCGCCTTATAGAGATTGCTTTGCTCTATCGAATGGTATTCTGCAACCTACTTAGAAATGAGTAGTGTTGACTTATTGCGGTTGGAATTCAAGACCTGCATTAATTCTGTTACAACATAGTATAAGCATGTCGTATGTTTTTTTTTCGTAATTGGAAAGTGATAAATAAAATAGGCCGGGAATTCAAAATAGCGCCTTGCGTGTACTGTAATGTTAAATTCGATATTTTTCTACGTAAAAAGCTCGAAGAAGGCTAAAAATTGATCGTTATAATTCAAAAGGCGCGTAATCGGAATTATCCGCATCGGAGCAATCCAACATTAGTTTTGCTAGAAAATGGCGAATTTTATTTCCCTAACTACTAGCTATAGAAAAATTACAGCAAGTGGGCATATGCGTAGTGATGGTATAAGTAATTTTTTGGAACGCGTTGAGATGTAGGATTGTTCTTGAGCATTTTTTGAAAAATTTTTAGGTTCTTCTTCCTAACTATGTGTATCAAATTCATGAATTTGTTGGAATGCTATTTTGTAGAGCTTACTTTGCTCTATCAAATAATATATTCCGAAGATTTTTAAGATTTCTACCAAGGGAATTGTTTGTGTGGTGAGTAACTGTTGCAAAGCTACTGGCCAAAATTAAGGCTTAGACCTTTTTCTTAAGGCCGTAAAGAGATTTGCCCGTCTGGGTTACGATCGATACCCCATTCAGGCCCTGACGAAGGCGAGAAGCCGAAACGTTGGCCAATAAAGTTTGTAACAATCTCGGCGTTGGCTACAACGCATCATTTTCAACTTATAAACTATGCCGAGATTTATCGAGAGTCGTACGCGCTATTCCGAAGATTATTCTTGTAAATAATGTCGATTACCTCAGGGAGGAAAGCTATCTTGTGACTCTGACTTCAGCACCGAAAAATTCAATATTGAAATTACAGCAAGGACTTCCAGACTCTTGAACACTCTGTGTTTCGTAATATTTTGATAAATGTAATCCAATCTAATCTCATTCGAGTCGAGCAGCAGATCTCTCCAAGTATGTACAGATGCATTGTGAACTATTCCATATGCGTGTGCTCAATCCCGCACTATCAACAATCTCGCTAGTATGGACAATTGTTCGTTACTTTCATGTGTATCGTCAAATTCTACTACCGCAAATATATCGAAATACATCAAAAACAAGTATCACATTTATAGGAGTTAAGCACAAGTGCACTTCCTCCTATGGATTGGGCCAAACTGCTATAGTCTGCCCCATTTAATAGGAGGAACGCTACGCGACGGCTTAGGAATGCACATGTGAGCACTAGCCCATACCAACAAAAGCTACTGATAGTGTGAGATTGACAGTACGCCTATGGAATAATTCACATTTTTCATCTGTGTTCACGTGTAGAGGCATATGAATTAGTGAAGCAGGAAGACAAGCCATCAACATCCGACACCAGTCATTCAGATTTTCGCAGTCCTTGCCAATTGCATTTTTTCTCCCTAGTTTCCCACTGGTTTATTTCAACTACAACAATCAAGAAAGAAAGCGTAAACAACTATATCGCCACTTACACGCTACACTGAAAATGTGGTTTTAACGACCCAATCGCCATGTATGCGCGAAAAATCTTATATATAAAGCTGAATGTCTGTTTGTCTGTCTGTCTGTATGTCTGTCTGTCTGTCTGTCTGTACGTATGTTCCGAATATAAAAATCCATTTCTGAGCCGATCCGGACCTAACTTGGCACACATACACTTCGGGCCCCGGCGGGTGTCATAGGCTACTTTTCGTCATCAATCGATATCGATATCGATTTTTTGCAAAATTTGAGCTACGGGGCTGGGAGTTGGCACAGGGGGGGGGGGTAATCGAGCATGCTGATTACGAATATAATAATGACAGGGCCGGGCGGAGCCGGGTAAGTCAACTAGTGTTCTATAAGCCTTTGTACACAACTGAGCGAGACTAAATGGAAACAGATAAATACAAAGTGAGGCGAAGCAGAACTGTACTGTTAGCTGGGGACATATAGGAGGCGCGATT